TATATATTGTTAGTGATGTAAGTCTCAGTGAACTTTTCTTTTTAACTATTAAGGCTCGATTGTTTTTCTCTTACATTTGAATAAACTCTATCCCAATAAATATATTTTCCTAGTTTGCAGTTCTTTTAATTTTAGTTTTTTATAGATTTATGACTATTTTATATCTTCACTTAGCTTTTTCTTTTACTTTCTTTACCTTAGAAGTTGAAAATATGTAACAAGTTACCATGTTAACTGCCCAGAAATGATCAGTTTTTCTATTAATAAAAGATCATTTCAGAGGCTATCACTGTGCCTGTCTGTTATAAGCTTCTGGCAGTTCTTGGAAGCAGAACAAGAAATGTCTAAATACCAAGACTGGGAAATACCAAGACTGGGAAGTATGTGTGAATGTAAGGTTAGGAAAAGAGGAAACAGGGAAATGAGCAATGTCTTTTTGTCTTTTGGAGCATGACATCATGTGCTTCACAGCTGACTCTACACACCACATGCAGACACGTTCCACTCACTGGTGGCTGCCTGTCTTGCTGATGGTCCCACAACTATTAATTTTAAGATCTGAAGAGATTTCCAGAGTCCTCTGATTCTCAAGAAGATACACCTGATTCACTTTTCTGGATTAATGCTATTATGGCACAAACATTTGGTGACTGGAGCTTATAAGATGTAGAGCAAATGTTTACTAGATGTACATAAAAAACATCAGGGGTGGTGGTACAGACAGTGTGCAAGTACAGTCTGGGGATATAGATCAGTTGGTAGGGTGGTTGCTTAGCTTGTGTAAGATCCTGGGTTCCATCCCCAGCACTGCCTGAACCATGCATGATGGGGTATTGCTATAACCCCACGGCTAGGAGATAAAGATAGAAGATTCAAAAGTTCAAGGGTACCTCTTGGGACTAGAAAATAAAATGAGTATGAATGAACAAATAAAATAAATAAAATAAACATTTTGAACAATTTTATACTCTTTTTGTGCTTGTTTTGAAATATATGGAGTGAAAGGGAGTGTAATGTTTATAGCCCAGCCCAAGTCCACGAAAAGAATTAGCTGCTCTTAGTGCATGCCACCATACTTCCTGCCATGATGATGATGGACTACGCCTCTGAAACTGTAAATTAAGAGCTACCCTGGTCATGGTGTCTCTTCACAGAAACATAAGATTGACAAAGACACTTCTTAATATATGGCTGCAAAAAACCAAAAACAAAACGCTTGAAACTAACAAACATATTTGGCTCCGACTGCATTTCTATTGGAGGGTGTTTCTAAAGGAGTATAGCTTTGGAGTAGAGAACAATGCTGAGAATGAAATGACTACACATACTGAGAGTAGAGAGGTTATCCCACTGATTCTTAAATCTTCACTTTGTTCTCATAGGAAGATGGCTTCATGAAGAAGTTTGAACCTAAATCTGGCTGGGTGACTTTTCTGGAAACGATAGGGCAGATCTGGGAAATGCTCTTTTCTCCTCAAGCAACACTACTGGCCAGAGAGGACCCTGGCTCCTTCGACAATGGTGACCATCACTTAGTACTTCCATTTGCAAACAACTCAGCTGACAGGACTTAACTTTCCAGAGTTGCAGATGTTTTGTTCCATCTTTAATAAATAAACTACCGACATTTGTTTCTGTGTTTCATGCTTTAAGTTTTTGAGTTTGCCTGGAACTTCATAATACTCAGCACAGGAACAATGTCAGTGGCTATGCCATCGGGTTGTAATTGAAGTTTCAGGTGTCAGCCCATCAGAAGGAAATCCTCTGATGGGCCAATCTTGTTTAGGCAAGGCAGTGGGACTGCAGACCCTGGAATGTCTTTTGCTTCTGCTGTGCCTTTACATATTTGCTACATCTCTCATTCTCTGGGATCTAGCATGGTGTGAGTGGACATGGGGAGATCTCCACTGCCTGTAATATAGTGTGCTTATCTCTTGGAAACATCCTGTTCTACTAGGCATTTTTACCTGTGGATTGTCAAAAAGATGACCCCTCTCCAATCTGTACTGTCTAATTTGATAATAATGATAGTTTGTACAGAATTTTGGTTAATAAAAATAAGTGCGAGGCTATGTTTCACAGCCAAAGTCAGTTTTACCTAAGGAGCTGCATGGATTGTATAGCTCAAGTTAAGGATTAACTATTGAGCCCAGCTAGTTGGAGGAAATATATCAGCTGGGGTGGGCTTTGAGGTTTCAAAAACCCATGCCAACTCAAGAATCTCTCTCTCTGCTTACAGATCTCTGCTTACAGATAGAAAAGTTTAGCCACTGACTCTGTGTATTTCTGTTAAAGCCCTATGCTGCTGGAGGTAGAAAATCTTCTATAAGGGTGTGCCTGTTATCCAAAGTTATGCTGTGTCACTAGGCTAAACCATATGGGGGTTAAAATCTGCTTCCTAACTCTTTTCTGAAACCAACACTTTCTCTATCCTCAGGGTCCTTGGCTGCTTACAGTTCCTCACTGATGCTCTCTTCTCAACCTTTCCTCTCTGGCCTTTCATTTGAGCTCCATGGATAGAACATTCAGAGATGCAGTGTTGGGGTCAGAAATGATACCCTAAAAGGAAGGCCTCAAATCATTTTTCCCTCTGACCTTCTCTTGTCTTCTTTTCTCTCACTCCACCCACCCAGTTTTCTCTCAAGGCAAAACCCAAAAAGTAGAATTCACTTTCCCCAAGTCAAGTCATAATCAATAGTCAGATCTGCCTTTCTAGCAGCCAGGAAGGGAGGGATCACTTCTCTTTCTGCTCTTACAGCAGGAAACTGGAGGGTTTGAACAAAAACAGTTAAATGAATATCAAGCCATTTAAAAACTTTGTGTGTGTGTGTGTGTGTGTGTGTGTGTGTGTGTGTGTGTGTGTGTGTGTGTGAAAAACTGTCTTTTGTTAGGTCATGTTCCAATTTTTAGATCAAATTTGATGGCAAAATAGAAATCCTCTATTTTGGTCTAGGTCGCTTTCATAAGATTTCCCTTGAGTCTAGTAATAGATCCAATAAAGAGAGAGGTGCATCTGCCCCCAACACCAGGCACATATTTATAAGAGATCTCAGTTATCAATACTACCTCTGTGGTATGATTCCTAACTGAGGAAATAAAGACACTAAGGACCTTAACACCAGGTCCTTCTGTTTCCACATCCTGAGGGCTAGGATTACAGATACGGTCATCTCCACATTCAGTTTGTGTGGTGTGGTGCTGGAGGTCCAACCCCCAGGTTTTGTGCATGCAAGGCAAGCCCTCTAGCAATGGTGATTCATCCTAAACAGCATGGCCTTTTATTTCATTATCACCTTTAAACTGGAGAAGCAAAAAGGAATAAGCAAGAAGACCAGGTAGGAAGTTACTTAAATCCTATTGAGGTGAGTCAGAACAGGATACCATCTTTCAACTCTGCTGCCCACAGTGATGTGCTTGTTAGAAATGTTCCAAAGCACCTCAAAACAGTGCCACCAGATGGGGACTAAGTGTTCAGACTCATTAGACTGTGGGTGGGGGAATTTCACATTCAAACAATGAAACAGTGCTTGTTTTAAGACACAGTCTCCCTGTACAGTTTAGGGTGACCCTGACACCATAATCCTTCTGTTTCAGCCTTCCTAACACTGAGATTAGAGGTATGTGCTACCACTTTCAAGATATGCTATGTGAGGTCTCTTTGGTTTCATTTTATTTTGAGTCAGGGTTTTCCTACGTACCTACGTAGCTCAGAATGGCCTAGAACCTTCAAGGTTTAGATATTAGCCTGTAAGGCCTTTAACCATCTGTTTTCTACATAAACACTTGTTCTCTTCTTTTGCTTCAGCTACCCTAGTGTCAAGTACAATGCCTTCTCCTAGTATCTGACACCTTTATGTTATTGAGTCTGCCTGTGATTTTATTTCCAATGGAAATAATGGCTCCAGAGGGTTGGAAACATTGGGGATACCAGTGATTCTGTCCTGGAACCTTACCTGTTCGAGGACACGCAGAGACTTCTGAAAATTCACAATCCTAAAGAGCTTTACACCTCATTTTGCACTAATTCATAGATACAAATACATCCTTGATAAAATGTACACATGGAACTAAAGTATTTTCGTCAAAGACTGGGATTAAGTAAATCCCATGCCAAACTAGACAAAGCTATCATTATTTTTGCAGCACTGGTGATCAAACCACAGGCCTTGTGCATGCTAGGCAGGCACTTCCCCCCTCAGTTATGCTGTCAGACTACCTATTTATTGCTGATATGAACCACATAGAATAGCCATGGATATCCAGAAAAAGCCTGCCTCTAGAACTCAACAGCAGCAATTTATCAACAGTAACATATACAATTAATTTATTTTTTTTTGTGTGTGGCATAAGTGAGAAAATCTAGGACCACATACATGCTAAGTTTTACATCTCTTCTTGAAGATTAATACTTGTTGTAAACAGTGATTTATGGTAGTGGTTTTCAAACCTTAATATGGATAGAAATCACCGGAAACCGTTTGGACTCCGGGGATGGCTCAGGATTCTCCATACTTAACATGCTTTCAGGGGACACTGATGCACAGAGTACATTCATGTTCAAGTGCTGGTAAACGGACATTACGTGGCCACACTGACCTGATTTGCTAGGTCTATGAGCATAATGATGAGATCACAGATGTAAGTGAATTCAGCGCTTGTTTTACTGTCCATGATACGAATTCTATTCATCTTTGTTCTCCCTTTTCTACCTTCCTTTGTCTTCAGGCACTTAGACCTCAAATGAACTATATACCTTTTGACATGGGTGCTGGAGATCTGAACTCGGCTCCTCATGCTTGTGTAGCAAGCATTTTATCAAGTAAACCATCTCCCCGGCCCTGAAAAGTTAACTCTTAAAAATCAATCCTTAGCTACTGAGTGGCAACATGGGGGTGGTGGTGATATATATATCTTAAGATTATACATACATACATGTATGTATGTATGTATGTATGTATGTATGTATAATCTTAAAAGTCAGTCCTCAGCTATCTACTTACTTTATTCTTTGCTCTCCACTCAGTCAAACGTCCTGTTAGAGAAAGGCATTATCTGTCTCTGAACAGCAGCTTCCAACAGCAGCAAAGACAGCTAAACTCTTCGATTGTAATGAACAGGGGGATTGAATCCTGAATTCTCCAGGGATGGGGCATCCATCTCCAGAAAAGGACTGCCATAGAGGCCCTACAAGTTTATCAGTGATGAGCCACAACTGACTGGAAAAGGGAGAGGAAGGCACTTTCTGGTAAAGAAGAATATTTGATCCGTTGACTAGGAGGAGCCAAGTGTCCACCGGCCATGATGTACGCGCATCTGGTATGCTTTGCCCTTCTTCTGAGGCCTCTTCAGCCCCGTACTCCACAACGTTAAAGCTAGATGAGTACTGAGTCCGCGAGTATGGTTGACAGCCTTTGTTAAACAGTCTGCAGAAGCATGGCTACCTCCGTAGGCTGTGAGGGAGGGTTAAATGTGCTGGGGCATGTGCACAATCCCCAGCAAACCAGCCGGAAAAGCCAAAGATGGACACAGCACGCTGTCATTTGCTGCCACAAGACGGGGGGCCGGCTCTGACTCCTAAATGGCCTGTGCGCCAATGCTAGTCCACAGAGGCCACGCCCCCTCCCTCCCCACGGCGTCCGAGGGCGATGGGCGTGGCCGGGGCGGTACTTGCCACGTGATGGCGGCGGTGGCAGCAAGCAGCGCCAAGCGGAGCCTGCGGGCCGAGCTGAAGCAGCGTTTGCGGGCCTTGAGCGCGGAGGAACGGCTGCGGCAGTCTCACCTCCTCACGCAGAAGGTGCGAGAAGGCTGCGGGGAGTTAAACTCCTGCAAGCTTGGGCTCGGCTCGCGTGTCTGCGCAGGCGCACCTCTTCCCCTTGCGTGCGCGTCCTCGGCAGGCTCTGTGGGTAGCCCGGAGCTCCCCAGGGGGTTGGACTGCAGCACGTTTGTTCATTCAAGCCGAGTTATTTTGTTATGGCGAGGAAAGACATTGCTGCGAGCTTTAGTAGATGTGGAGAATGTGGAACCACGCCCGCACTTTCCTGTTTAAGTTTAATCCATTCACTTGTGTTTAACACCCAGCAGTAAGCCATTTTGCTGTGTATTGGGTTATGGAGATGACAAAGGTAATTGCTTCTAAAGGCTCAGACGATCTAGCAGAGATAGCAGGCGAATGGAAAATTTAGGGCTGGGGATATGGCTCAGTGATCCAACTGTTCAAAGATGTGCTGTCTTTTATTTGTCCATACTTAGAACATACACTGAATTTGGGTCTGCTTTTCTACTTTCAAATTGCGTCTTCCTTTATTTTTGGCAAAACTAGAATCTGCGTTTACCTATAGGTAGATTAATTTTTACATTGTGAGTTAACTGCACCCGCACAGTCACCCTTTGGGTTTCTGCTTCTGAGTTTAGGGTCGTTTATCTGGAACTCGTTGCCTTCTTTTGCCTTCTTTCTTGTACTTTTTCGTCTCAGATGTTTTTTAAAAGGAAAATGCCTATGTGATTGTCAGCCTTTATTTAGTTTTAGCTCACGTGTATGATTGTTTTGCCTGCATGTATGTGCGTGCCTTTTAAGGTCAGAGGTGGGTGCCAGACCCTTTGGAACTAGAGTTAGGGTTGGTTGTAAGTCCCAGTGTAGGCGCTAGAAACTGAGCCCAGGTTGTCTGCAAAGCACATTAAGTGCTCTTTAACTGCTGAACCATCTCTCTAGACCTGACTTTAATACATGTTAAAATGTTTTCAACTCCCATTTGACCAATCAATCGATTTCAAGTTTTTAATTATTTTTTTCTCATTTTGCTCAACACCTATGACTTCAAATGGAGACACTGATTTTTTTTTTTAAATTTATGTATTACATCTTGTGGCTTAGTTACTGTTCTACTGCTGTAAAGAAACAACAGAACCAAGAAAACTTATAAAAAGAAGCATTTCATTTAGGGCTTGCTTACAGTTTCAGAGGGCTAGCCTGTAATCACCCTGGTGGGAAGCATGGAGGCAGTCAGGCAGGCATGGTGCTGGGGAAGTAGCTCAGAGCTTACATCTTATCCACAAGATGGAGGGAGGATGGAGAGGCAGAGACACAGACATAGAGAGACTGGGTCTGCTATGTATGGGCTGTGGGATTTTGAAACCTCAAAGCCCACTCTGGGGTCTCTGTGATCATAGGGGCCTGCAGAGTATCAGCAGCTCAACAGGACTCAGTAGCTGGTGTTGGTTCAAACTTCTAGAGTCTGACACAGGACAGATTATTTTAGACATATTTAAGCACAGTACGTTTTGGGAAAAAAATTTTCCTGGTGATAATTAATTCAGTCCTGTGTGTACAACAAAGCTTAAGACATGGTTACATTGAAAACTCTTTCCAAAGTACGTGTGTACTCTCCCATAAAGATGGATTCTATAGATTGACTATATGTTAAATGTCTGGGGGAAGATCTGGTGTGGTGTTGGTCATACAGTTAGTGCAAAGGTCCCCAGGATATTAACCACCTTTGCTCCCTTTTGTAAAGTACATGTGACATCTCCCATAAAGATAGGCTCTGCTGACTGAGAAGCAATGCTCAAGAATGGGTCCAGGGAGGATGCTGAGACAAATGTAACAATATGGGAGAACCATGTGTAGTCTAGCCATACAGATAGTCACTAGGCTACTAACCAAATCCATTCCCAGCCTTCTGGGCAGAAAACAGATGATACTCTCTTCCTTTGAAGAGACAACCCTTAGTGTTTAACATTCCTGGCTCCCCTAGTACTTATCTGAGATCACAAGGACTCCGTGTCCTCTACAGCCCATCCTGAGTGACACACCTTCTACATGAAGGTACACACCTCCTAATCCTTCCTCTAAATAGTTCATCATCTGAGAACAACACATTCAAATGTATGAGCCTATAATATCCATTCTCCTTCACACCACCAGATCTTGAATTCTAGTTTTCCTTTGGATCTGTCAGGAATTCTTGTTAATTAGATAGTAAAAAGTCTAGATTGATCTTCTGTGTTTCTTAACTTTTTTTTTTCCCTAATTTGTCTCCCCACTCAGGATTTCCTCCTACATTGTTTTCATTTTGTTAATCATGGTTTTAGTTTCCAATAATTATTTATGTCTCTTCCTGCTTCCTTTCCATAGCAGTCTATTGATGTTTTATTGTTTTCAGTTTATGTGAGAAAACTAATTAGAGTTTAAAAATAATCTCCATTCTTTGTATTATCTGTTTTGTGCTGAATTATTTTTTTCCTCCCATTTGTCATTTTAAAAATCTTTCTGTTTTGTATTTTGGCTTTTCAGAATGGTTGAAAATCATTTATTGGCTATGCATATTTATGTCCTTTGGGAATTTGGGCATCACCTGAGGACATTGTACGTGGCAGTGAAGGCTTCCACCACTCAATGAAACCCCTGGCCCTTCTTGTCTGTACATATTAACTAATGAAAGTGTGTTAGCTACAAGATTCCCTCTGATTTTGTAGACACTGGTTGGAGTTCTAAGAGGAGAATGGGTTCTGTCTACTTCCTCTATCCATGTTTTAATGCTGCTTTGTCTATAAATACTGTCTCTCCCTCCCTCTGTCTTACATGACTTAGCCAAATTTCTGCCTTATTGTCTTCATTATTATGATGGGTTTCCTTTTTTCCTCCCTTCTTAACAAATATCATGTAAATGGGCTTGAAGGAAGGCAGGCACATGCATATGCATAGTCTCACGATGAATTTTAGCTGTGACTTCCTGCTTATTCAGCTCTTGGTTTTCTATACTCTGCTTTAAAGAGATTAAGAGAAAGAAGTGATGTCAAAGCCTTAGGCCTGCTCCAAATCTGGGTTTCCCCCTTTCCATTTGCTTCGTTTATGCCCCTAACAGCTTTTCAGCTTTTCAGACTCCAGGGGTTGACTTTCTTCCTTAGCCTGGGTCTGATAAGCTTTGTTTATTTTCTCTCTTCCCTTTGTATTAAATGTAACTTGGCTTTCTTTACCTGTATCTTTTCTGCCAGTCATATTTGTAAGCTGCCTTTGTATTATCCTTTTCTTCTTAGCCTGGAGGACAGGGGAGAACAGAAAAGGAATGGAGAAAAAAAGGGAGTTAAGGGCCAACTTCTGAGTCTGGGTAAGTTCGTAGGGTTATAAACAAAACTTAGCCCTTTGCCTGATGAGTGACTCCACTAAATAAAGGATTCTTACACCAAGAGCCCTTTGGCCCTGTTTCAATGAACTTTGTGAACACCCAGTTGAATGGAATAGTGTTGGTAGAGCTAAGAGACTGTCATAGGGTATGTTCTCTATGGGAGCTTGTGGACTGATTCAGAATCCTTCATTTCGGACATGTAAGCAGTGATTGACTCATGACTTACCTCATACACACTGAAGTGCTGAGTTGTGTCTCACTCTAAATGAGGTAAAGGTTCTGCAGACATCAGGAAGGTTAGGTCTTGGTTGGCCTTAAATGGGTAAAATTGATAGGAGAAATAACTCAACAATCCAAGGACTGGAAAATTGATGAGGTCCAAGTTTCCAAGAGAAAATAACCCAAAAATCCTCGAGTAAGTTTCTGATATTTACTGGGAACTGGGACCACATCTGGAATTCTGAAGCTTTTCCATTTTATGCATTTTTAATGAGTTTTCATAAGGCAGTAGTCCTACCAGAGAGGTAAAGGGATCATTGAATTTGCAAATCTTGAGTCTTGAAATGAAAGCCAAGTATCAGGACATACCATTAAGTCACTGTATCACTTGGAGAACATTATGACAGAAGGAAAAAATTGCTAAGAGGAGTTTCTAGTTTATGAAAAATATAGTCTTAAAAATTATAATTGCCATCATTTCCCACTTAGGTGATTGCTCACAGTCAGTATCAAAATTCCAAAAGAATTTCCATCTTTTTGAGCATGCAAGATGAAATTGAGACAGAAGAGATCATCAAGGACATTTTCAAACAAGGCAAAATCTGCTTCATCCCTCGGTACCGGTTCCAGAGCAATCACATGGACATGGTGAGATTAGCATCACCTGAAGAGATCTCTTTACTTCCCAAAACATCCTGGAATATTCATCAGCCCGCTGAGGGAGATGCTCGAGAGGAGGCCTTATCCACTGGTAAGGCATCATTTCTCACATCAGAACACTTACCTAGGTGCATCCTATTTCATCTGATTTTGGATGCTAAGTGTGGTCAGGCCTGGCTAGTTTGGGAGAATTAATTAGTGTCTTTGAATGTTTAGGTAATTTCACCAGATATTTTCCTCCCCACTCCCCACCCCCTGTGTGTATGTGTGTGTAAGACAGGGTCTCACTATGTAGCCAGGCTGGCTTCCAACTCTCAAACTCCTGCCTCTCCAGTGCTGAGCTCCTGGGCATACACTACCTCTCTGGCTTCTACCAAATATTTTCATCTATTTTATGTCAGGTCTATTGTATGTATAGGAAGATAAGGCCCTGTGCCTGAAAGGACTCACACTGTAGCTGGGAAGACAGAAATTTTATACTAATAAAGTATCCCAACTTGTACTATACATCAAATGTAAGTATCAAATAAAAAGATATTGAATATTGAAAACAATCAAGTTCAGGGATTGGTCTTGAAAATGTGCATTCCCAATACTGGCTTATTCATTTCCATCCTCTGCTCTTTATTCATTGCCATGTTTGTGGTCTCAGTGGCTTTTGCTCCCATGATACTTGTAACCCGAGTTGCAGTGGGATGGAGTTTGATACTGTAGATTCTCTCAGTTGTGGTATGAGACAGAGATCCCTGATGTTGTTGGAGGAAGTGTCTGAGCAGGCAGGCTTGTTGTTTGTTACCTCCTAACATCACAGTCTCGGTGTGCAGTTTCACTTGCATCAGCAGTTTTGAATGCAGCAAGTTCGGTGCTAAAGCATCAATCAAGCTTCACAGGGTCTGAGATGAGCTGATTGGAGCTCAGATTGTCTTTGCTGCAGCCTTTGTGGTCTACTCATCTTCCTGGTTGGCTTATGTTATCTCAGTTTAGAAGGCAGTAAGCTTCTGTACCCTCGGTTGCAATTACAAGTTCCCAAGCAAAAATTTCACATAAGGCATTCTTGTTTCACATAATAACCCAGCTGGTAAATGAAATAGAGGGGCTATATCTTTACTGGATTTAAGGTGAGACCTGCCTAGACAATTCGATCAGCTGGGAGTCCTTCCATTGAGAATTTATAGTCTGATTCAACCTTAGTCAATTTGGCTTAAGTACAAGTGGGATAATACTGGTACAGATACTGAAGACTGCACAGAACAACTGGTCTTAAATATCTCTGGATTAGTGTCACATTTTCAGTCATTAAAGAGGCCCCATCAAGGGCAAGGTCTTTGAATATACTCCTCTGGGTTGAACAGGTCAGTACTTTGGGGGAGGCAGGATTTGTTCATTGAGAGTAATTCACATTTATTTGTCCCATTTTCCTCTTTACTAGGACTGTGTGCTACCTGGAAAATTATGGTGAAGACTGTGGGCATGGGTTTCATCAAGGTCTTTGACCAAGTCTTTGTGTGTGTGTGTGTGTTTGTGTGTGTGTGTGTGTGTGTGTGTGTGTGTGTGTACACATATATATGTATATTATGTGTGATATATATTTAATGAGAATTTTATTATAGAGCACTTGCAAATTAAAAAAAAAACACCACAAAGTCATGATATCTTTAACAGTAGACCAAAGAAATTTGAATTGTGTCACAAAAAATTTGAAAATGTTCTATCTTATTTTATTTTATTTTTTTGAGATGGTGTGGTGATATGAAAGAAAATGGCTCCTAAAGGTAGTGGCAATATTAGGAGGTGTGGCTTTGTTGGAGTGGGTGTGGCCTTTTTGGAGGAAGTGTGTCACTGTGGAGGTGGGCTTTGAGGTCTCATATATGCTCAAGCCACACCCATGTCTCAGACCACTTTCTGTTGCCTGTGCAAGATGTAGAACTCTCAGCTGCCTCTCCAGCACCACGTCTGCCTGTATGCTGCCATGTCCCACCATGATGATAATGGACCTCTGAAAGTATAATGTTTTTCCTTTATAAGAGTTGCTGTGGTCATGGTGTCTCTTCACAGCAATAAAACCCCAACTAAGACAGAAGTTATTTCATTGTGTAGCCCAGACTGGCCTTGAATTCATAATCCACAAGCCACCTGCTTCAGCCTTCAAGGATTATAGACCTACTTAGCCATCTGTCTGGTAAATATTTATTAAGCACCTAGTCCAATGGTTGTCACCCTTCCTAATGCTGTGACAGTTCCTCATGTTGTGTTGACCCAAACTATAGAATTATTGTCATTGCTACTTCATAACTGTAGCTTTAACAACTGTAACTGATATGCCAACCCTGTGAAAGGGTTGTTTGACCCCACACGCTGAGAACCACTGAATGTCTATGAGAAGTGTGGTAGAGACCTGGTTCTCTACCATAGTAGTGGCATTAACTGGCCTGTTGTTGTCTCAGAGGCAGGTTTTGTCTTAGCTCCTCCTCTTTGAGCTGTCCCTGATCCGCTTTGTGTTAAACAGCAAGATGTCCCAGCATTCCTTAATTCTACATTTCTAAATTTTTTCTTTTTATTGTATTTCTGTTTGTAGCTAGCTTGTGCCCATAAAATTACCCTTGTCTCTTTAACCACCCAATTATCAAGTACTACCAGGGTTTTCATTGTAATATATTTGTGTGCAGTGCATGTGTGTGGTATGTGTATATGTGTGTGGTATGTGTACATGTGTAGGAGTAGAAGCCAAAGGAGGGTGTTGCATGTCCTGCTCTGTTACTTGCTTATTGCTTTGACAGGGTCTGTCACTGAGCCTGGACCTAGGCTGGTATCTAGCAAGCCCTAATTGATCCTCCTGTTTCTTCTCCCATTTCATCATGGTGAGTTACAAACCTGGCTTTTTACATTGGTGCTAGGGTTTGAAAGTAGGTCCTCATATTTATGCAGCAAGTATTCTTCGCCACTCAGACATTTCCCCAGCCCCTCTTTGTAAAACTTTTACCACCTGCTTCTGAGCACAGCCATCTTTTGTCTCTAGTTTTTGACTCTTTACAGATATTCCCCTAGAATGAATTTCAAACTGGTTTCCTCATCATAATAATTTCTCTCAGATGCCTTTTTACACACCTTCCCCACTGGTTAGGTCTTTTTCTGTACCCTGTAATGATCTCTATCTCTGGCTGACAGTACTTCCTGCTGATCTGTTGTGGCCAAAATCAGGGACATTGGATAACAATGTGGCCAAAGTCCAGGCCACTGTTTGAGCTAGTCTGTCCCCATGTTCCCTGTTCCTCCCCAGTGCAGTGTGGTTCTTTTCTGTCGCCCACAGTGCTCTTCTGAGGGACAGCATTTCATAACAGTTGACAGTGAGAGATTCGTGACTACTCTCTAGTCTTACTCCTTTCTAACTGTGTGACCTCAGTCCCCATCAAGTTTCAGGCATGTCACCCAGACATGGAGCTCATGAAGCCTACCCATGGGCTGTTGTGGAGCTTCATGAGGTAATGTCTGAAAGGTAGTAGGTGCATAGTAGGTGCTCAGTGAAGGTGCCCTTGCTGCTGTGGCTGCTGTTTTGCTGGGGTCGAGTTGTCATGTGTGTGGGGCTCTGTTAAAATGAAGCTTGCTGTATTCCAGGCTAGAATGTGTCATGCGTTTCTTCAGGAGAGAATATTACAGGCCAGTGCCTGAGGTCACTGGCTCTCAAGTGGCAGTCTGGGTTCAGTTCCTTACCATTTGGGCAAATTACTTAATATCTGAAAGCACCCGAGAGTTGGGAATAATAAAGTTGTTTTGTAAGGGGGTAGAGTAGGATGATTTACAATTAAATGCTACACAGTGTTTTGTCATGAGGAGTCAGCAAAATGCAGCCATCATCAAGTGCTGAGTGATTTCCCTGGCTCTCTCAACACCCTGATCTTTATCTTCTGGGATTCTTCAATCCTTGGCACTTACCATGAATCCTCATGTTTTATTAATTCTTCTTGGGAGTATATTTCTTTTTGTGCTAGTAGACTTAGTCTCTTTAGAAGCCAAGATCTTGATCTTGGTCTAAGATACTGTACCTTTGGTACCTACTATCATGTGGTTTATAGTGTGTATAGCCATCCTGGCAGGAATGAAGACAGGTCTAGGGAGAGATGCAAATGCAGGTGCCCCTTCCTTCACCTATCAGATTACCGAAACAGTGGACCTCCCAAATGGGAATTTCCCCAGAAATCACATGCCAAGAGATGGAAAAAGCTGAAGCCTGCTGCCAGCCAAAGAAGGAACTTGTTCCCTACATTTCACACAGTTCTGACAACTTTCCAGACTGCCTTGCAGGAAAGACTGGAGCTGGAACGGTGATGGGGCAATGACCCCACATTGTGTGGAACTGCTTATTTATACACAATTCTTGCCTGTTATTTAAATATAAACTCTGGGGCTGGTGAGATGGCCCAATGGACAAAGGTTGCTTGTCACTAAGCCGAGGACTTGAATTTGATCTCAGAACCCACATGGAAGGAGAGAACTGACTCCTACAACTTGATTCTGACTTCTTACATGTTCTGTAGCATTTGTTGCCCTCTCTCATAACTAACTGAGTAACTAACTAAATAAGTAATTGATATAAGAAAATAAAGTGTAAATGTCATGGCAGGACCTGAAGAAGGATTGGGCCGGGCAGCATTCATTGAACCTCTTTGTTTTTCTTCTCAGTGAGGCCATATTGGATTAATCGTCTTTCTCTGCTTTTTATTATTGTCTACTTAATTGACCCGTTGAGGGCAGTAACTGAGCCTAACTTGTTCTAGGTGCCAGGGTCTGTGCTCTGACCCTAACACTAACAACTCTAGCAACATGTTGATTCATACTGGACATTTCTCAAAGTGAATCCAGTATTTATTATAAATTCAAAGAGTACTCATATAAATTAATAGATGATCAGTCCTTTATAGCCATGAAAGAAAACCTGAATTTAAAAAGTTACAAAGAATGCATAGGAATTGTTTTACAGATACTATGATTGAGCTAAGAGAAACATGGAATGCTCTGTGGCTGCTGATGCTGGCCTACCTGCAGTGGAGGCTGAGTGGGGATGGATACCTTGTGTATTTGTCGTGTTAAAGGTTT